TAAGAATAATTATTGAATAATAATTAAAAAAATTGCTCAATTTTCTTCAATAGACCGAATCAATTATATTAAAAAATGCACGTCCAAACCGATTCCAATCAAAATATAGCTATTTGTGGAATCCTATTAATAAAATGTATCTGTATATATCTATATTAGTTATTTTATTATTAATATATATATTTCCCCGGCTCTTACATTGTTTCCTATTACAGTGTTTCACGCCTCTGTTACGTCCATTCATGACATCTGAATGTTCGTTAAGGTGAATGACTCCCAGATTCCCAGGGGGAGGGAGGGAAGGATGGGGAGGAAACGGGGATGGAGGGGGCCTCCGAGGGGGTGATGATGAAGTCAATAAATAAGGACAAGTGAGGCGAGTCAAAGAAGAGGATTGCGCCGCATTTCACGCGACACGAACGTCCCGACGTGTGTCCGTGTGTACAGTGCGTGCTTTACAGTGGAATTCCTGTAGAGAGCAGTAGATAGTTTTAATAAGTGCTCACACCGCCGAGCGCTCCCCTTACTGTACCGGGCATAAGCGGAGGGAGGAGCGAGCGTGTAGTATTTCTTTTTCGCTTCTTTCCCCCGATGTCGTTGCAGCCCATCCAAACGCTACTGGAAGGCAAGAAAAAGAGGAAACAAACGTCTTCAATCCGCGCTGAAGCTTTGCAGGAAGGAGCACTGGGGGTTGTTGTCCGAGCGGGGAGATAATTTGACGGTACGAGGAGCAGCAGCTTGGCCGAGGAATGGGCTCGGAGTGAGGGGACGGGGGAGCCATCCAGCGCTTCTCTACTGCTACACTTGTGCATGAACCCGGGGACTTTCTCACGCTTTATTTCCGCCTCGTATCCCAGCGGGAAGTTGTGTCCAAACCGCGTGGGGAGTAACTGAAGGTGAAGGTGAGTGTCGCGATCATGCCGAAACACGACGTTCACAGCGTGGTGGGCAGGCAGTTGTTTGGCGGCGCTAGCCTCAGTAGCCCGGGCTGGTTTGACAGATCGGATCAGCAGCGAAGGGTAACGCACGGAGTGGAGTCCAGCAGGGGCTGGGTAATCCTGCTCGTCACTCCGGCACCACCGTATCACTCCGGCTAGCAGTTGTCAGCATACCCAAAGTGATCGTCAGGGTACTGATAGAGCCTTTTTTTTGTTTGCTTTTGTTGCGGACTGTGTGCAGCTTGGCATTTACGCCTGCTGCACACTGACGCGCACGGTCAAATCACGCATGCACACGTGCACACACGCATAGGGGCTGATAGCCTAACTGATAAAGATCAGTAGCTATGACAGGCGACACCTACAGTCCTCCTAAAGGGAACCTCAAGCGGCGGTTACCTGACCCTAATTTGGTTTCCAACTTTCTCTTCCCTCGGATGTTGCAGAAGTTGCAGTGCTGTCTGTAATCTAGTATCAGTAAGAGCACTGCAGATCAATACTTATTACTATGACTTAAGGCTCTAATAAATTAACTTTAAGTCAGGGGCGTTTCCAGGATTTTTTTTTTCTTTTTTACAATGGGGTGGTGAAGGGGAGGTCCACAGGAAGTCAGAATATTTGATCAGAAATAGGGGAAAAAACGGTTTATTGTATTATAAGGCTCCCGTGCAGCCCTGTGCACTAATGCAAGCAATATTAAATCAAAAGTAGTGTTGCACAAGAGTTTCAGCATCATTTTGTAGAGGGTGGGATTTCGACTGTTGAAGTAAAAGCTATGGCCATAATTTAGTAATAGTACTAAAGCTTATCATCAACACAAGTGTCTACAGTGAAAATAGTTATTATACCGATTGCACTTATAATGAGTCATTAATGTATGATTCACTGCGATCGTGCTGAGGCATATGATTCCACTTTCAATTCTGCTTTATCAATATCAATCTGCAAAAATAGCAATTGACTGTGCAAAGCTATAATATATGGTGGTTGAGCAAATCTACTGACTGTATGCAACCGCTGGTTATATCCATGCTCTCATTCATTGGTGGGAGGCCAGTAATATGTCACTGATGGGGGTTGTGTCACTCTGTTTCCCTCTCATGGACACCACAGCCCTGCTCAGGTGATGCAGAAGTAAGATTTTAAAGCACTGGAAATGATTTTGCATTGCGAACAGTCTTATAGATCAAAACGAGTATGCACTTTTAAGTTTGCAAGATCCTACGTGTGCATGTATTTTGTGCGTTCGTGTAAATGTAGCTGGTTACATAATAGTCCCTGTAATCCTTACAGGCTAGCATTTAGGACCTTTTCTCTTCCTGCTTCTGTCTATGCACGATTAACGCCCAGCACAGCTCTGATGATCGCTGTCGGATCTGATCACTTTATATTGCACATATCAGAGCATTGTTCCAGTTGATCAGCACATTAAAGCAATTGCAGCTGTTAAATGCGCTGTTATGCTGTGCATCCACTAATACAGCTTGTTTTAGATAAACAGCTGCAGAATAGAGTACAGTTCAATACAGCGGGGTGGTTAAAGCCAGCTTTGGCATGAATGCCAAACCAAATGCAAAGTGTTGCCAACTGAACTGCTTAATGATGCCAAGAAACACCTTAATAATGCTTGTTAATATGCAACAGCTTCGACTGACAGACGACAAGCAACGCTGACACCTTCATCGTCCCCACGGGGCCATGTGAGAATCCCTGCTGAAAACAACCACTGTGCACAATTGCAGATCGTTAGTAAATGCAACTGGGATTGTTCGCTGTGCGCACTCGCAGCTGTTTGCGTGCAAAAGCAGTCATCGCCGCATTACAGCACTATAATAATGAAATCACTTGATGTAACCACTTTGCTTAACGCCTTTCCTGGGTCTGGATTCTCAGCGGCTTGTGCTGTGCAGATAGAAGGTGACAGTCTAAAAGCTGTAGGCTCTTGCAGTTGAATCCATCAAGCTTGCAACAGAAACAGTTTCTCTGGCTCAGTGCAGCATGTATCCGATAGCAGAGTATAAGGATTTTAAACATGCTAACCAGCTGCGAGTCTTAACGTGGAGAGTTTTTACATTTGGAAGCGCTTCAGAGATCGAGAGCAATTTGCACATCAAAAGGACCTGAACTCTAAAAGTGTATTAGTCATATTTTTGGACGAGGCTCTAAATGACCGTCCAGTCTTGGGGTTTAATACAAAAGCAGTCTAAAAGTGTTACTTTATGTCAGATGAGGTGATATGACCCCGGATGGCTGCGATTCATTAATCATTAGCTATCAGTTTAAATCTCAGGGTTCTGTCCCTGGGTTGATTATTAGCCTTGGACAAATCCACCATTGGAGTGTAGCCGTGTTCTTTAGAGGTCCATTTAGAGGCTGTGACTGTAAATGGACTGAAAATGAGGTGTGAGACAAATTTAAGTGATGTTTTTTTACACTCACACTTTTATTGGTGTAAATGTATTTATTTTTTCTATGCAAAGAAGAAAAGCAAATAAGAAATCCTGGCTCTGCTTGTTGACTGAGTGTGATGTAACAGGGTTGCCTGAAAGATCACAAGGATGGTGGATGCTCTCTTCTCTTCTCTTCTCTTCTCTTCTCTTCTCTTCTCTTCTCTTCTCTTCTCTTCTCTTCTCTTCTCTGGGGCTCCTTAAGGGGGCCAAGGGTGACCTTCAGTCTCACCCGGCAGCAAGCACCCCAGCGGGCCTCTCTTTTTCAGACGCTCTTTCTTTTCGTCTTTCTTCCTGGCCTCCTTGCTCTTTTTCCTTCTCCTTATTCCTCCCCCCCATCATCTACTCCCATCCCCTCCCTTTTCCCCATGGTGGGGCAGCAGAGCTGAATGCTAAGAAACGTAGAGAGTTCACTTATATAACCTCGACTGTGCAGCTGATGTCCTGGTCTGTATCTGCTGTATAATGATGTCAGAGCTGTCTAGAGAGGCAGAGGGCATGCTGGGTAGGCCAATATGTCAAGAGCTATTCCTGAACCTAGTATGGTGAATGGGTTCATTCCAATTCTCATGCACTCTTTTCCCCATAAATGTACATTCTTGATTACCGTAGGACATGTCAGATATTCACTGGTCTTCACTGTCTCTTTGACTTTAGTTGCCCAACATCTGTGAGTTGACCCACAGAGCCTTCCACTAATTAAACCATGAATCTAAATCGTGAATAGATTCCATAGATGTTTTGAGCTTTATTCTGATGGATTTATCAGTAAAAACATTCTTATTCCTGTACAAGTGCTCATGATGTTTGATTCAGTTTGTATTTATTCAAGCGAAGAATTTGGCCTCTTTATGCACAAAGAGAGTGCTCAGATGACTAACCAAACATCCAGCATCTTTGACTGAGTGTGCCTATACACGATTATGCATACTAATTAATGAGTCCAAGCATGCAAGAAAACAAGAAATGATATTAACCTGCATATTTAGATAGACATTGGGGTTATTGGAGAGTTTGCCAGCCCTGTATGATGCTTACAAATGTACAGGTTTGACGGTAGCTTGGAATAACATACAGAAAACTAGGGATTTGCTCTTTCTTTGTGACAGTGCTGCAAAGCATTTTTCAAATCACAGTTAGGTAGCTGATTAATTCTATTATGGCACCAAAATACAGAATTATGCTTATTTCTGTCACTTATAATTAATTAGATTAATTAGATACCTAAACAAAACCTGTGCATTTACAATAAATGCTGTGAATCTGTTACCCTTTTACAAGCACTGTCGCCCATTTATTCTGTATAAAGGCAGTCTCGACACCCCAAAAAGTAGCGTCATTGTTAAAACCTTTGTTTTTTGCTAAAGCTGAATGGACATATTTATTTATCAGATTGTTAGAAATACAGTAAATTCACTTATTTACTGAACACACCCAGACTCGCTGCCTTTAATATAAGCGAACCAATTGTTCT